TGGTTCAATGTGCCCCTTTTTAACTTTGAGCACCCGCCCCTTTAAACCTCTCTGCACGTCCCTGGTATGTTGCTTATGTGTATTCATGTTAATTTGAGTATATTATAAACATTTTATCTGTCTCTTTTTTCTTTCTTTTGCTGAGATTAAAGTGAATGAAATAAAACTACCTTGCATGTGCTGAATTAATTCATTCAACCTGTCCAAGGCTGAGAAGAGATCAACAACGGACTCCAGTCTGTGCATCTCTAACATCTTGTTTCTTGGGCTCTTGCTCGCCAAAGAAATGATCTGCTCTACATCCTGTTGCAGGGAAGAACAACAAGTACTAAATTATACATGAGCGGTGCACTGTTTCACTGCATAGATAAGTATGTAATAGTAAAGGAGAAACCAGAGCTACACGGACTATGACATGGACTATATTCAAAAAACATCTCAGGCTTGCAGGTTCTGTGATGAGTACGGGTCATCTGACAAATATAAACATGTAACGCACCCTCAGCACAGTCGGTATGTTGACTATGGGGGGTTTCACGTTCTCCTCAGGGTCAGCTTTTTTAGATTTTGGAACTATGCGAGGTTTGATGCTTCGAAAGATTGTGATGATGAGGATGTTGATTGGGAACATGAGGAGACCGCACTGCACGCCCACCATGAGGTCCTGCCAGGTCATCTTTATTGAACCTGGACAGACACAACAAAGGACACGGTGATGATGATGTGAAGCAACTAATACAGCTCCAGCTAATAACACCCAAATAAACAGCTGCAAACAGTAGTGCAATGTTTTACTGCAGGGTTCTTTCTCAGTTGATTTTAACAGAAAGCTGTGTGCGACTGTTTGCTCTCTGACCTCGTGGAATCAACTTTACATTATTTCAGTTTGAATATTGAATATCTATCCATACAATAGAAAGGTGTGACTAAAGGTCACATCAACAGAAGATCCAAGTGCAGAATGTAAAAACTCAATAACACGTAGATCTGCTAAGAAAGCAGCAGTTTTAACAGTGTTTGGCCAGGTGGAGTTAGTAAGGTTCTGAGTTTGGTGCACATCTGGATGCAAATGTGTTGTAGGTAATTATTAAGAACCAGTCATGTTCACCTTCGGCATGCAGCCTTGCTCCTAGATACAATCGCTTGTGAGCAGTAATCCTTATCCAAACACTGCTAATATTAGCACAAAGAGCAGGTTCCCCTCCTGAATTAAACTTTGTTGTTTGATGCTAAGAAACAGATGTAATCAGTAATCAAACAATAATCTAAGACTTTGTAATCACCAATTGAAAAGAGTACTGTTGAGTTTGGATCCACAGGGATGTTCCAGAAGGCGATGTTGATGGCCATGGTACAGAGCAGAAGGCACATGCAGCAAGAAACCCTCTGGGCACGTGTGAACGGGCTGCGTGAGGGAGGATCCACGATGGACACCCAGATGTGTTCGTCTCTAAAACCAGTCGATGTCCTGGTCTGGAAAATGTTCCTGAGAGAGGACGGAAAATAAATAATCACTTAATTTGAGCGATGTGATGAGCAATTTATTTTCAGCAGTGTAAAGGGACTCTAACCTGAAGCTGGCAACCTCGTTGACTTTTGCAGCATTGAAGGTTTTCTTGGTCATGCTGTCTCCGCGCTCAGAACTCAGCCAGCATTCACAAAAGAAGTGCCACATGTGTCGCGTTTGGAGGTCCTGTACAGTCATTTTGTTTATGTACCTTTAAAGAAAAAATATACAGAAATGAAAGATGACACGTTTAACATTTACCTAAGGAATTAAAATCATGGAAATAAAAAGCAACTTTGCAAACTAGAAGCACCAAAACAGAAAAAAAAGAATTCAGTTATTTAACTCGCCATACCATGTGAAAGAAACACACACCAGACGTCATTAGTAGAACCCAAATCTATATATTCATAGCCACACTGTAAATCATACCTTGCTTTATCATCTATTTTACTCTAAATAGAGTCACAGTTAACAAAATGAGCATTATATTGCATTAAAGGAGACTTGAAACGAATAAATAAACCCATCAGGAAGGTATTTAAAGGCATTTTAAGTACCTTAATGCACTAGTCCCTTTTGACTAGCCCCTTACCTGTATAATACCAAATCAATCCAAGTATAAAAAAAAACACACAGCTGTCTGTGTAGTATAGTAGTCTTTAAATAGTTGCCAACTTTTCAACACGTATGAGAGAAAACATTCTCATTTCTGATGAAAAGCACTTCATCCTGATCTGACGTAACGCCAAACGATCTACTTTTTGCTGCTCATGTCCTTACCACGATGGATGACCTCCAGAGTTGTCGTGCTGCAGCCTGATGGTCTGCACTTCACCCAGTGGGAAGGGTGTGGTCAGCACGAAATAATCAACAGATCCTCTCTCAAACACTGGCTTCTCTGGGTCTGTGAGAGTGTGTACGTTACTCTCTGCTTCTGAGCCAATCAGCTTCACTGTGACCTGCGGGAGAGCACAGCGTACCGGTGAAGTGACCCAGACTGTATATACAGGGAGTGCAGAATTATTAGGCAAATGAGTATTTTGTCCACATCATCCTCTTCATGCATGTTGTCTTACTGCAAGCTGTATAGGCTCGAAAGCCTACTACCAATTAAGCATATTAGGTGATGTGCGTCTCTGTAATGAGAAGGGGTGTGGTCTAATGACATCAACACCCTATATCAGGTGTGCATAATTATTAGGCAACGTCCTCGAACAATCAAGCGTTTCATTCAAAATAGTCAACAGGGTCCAAGAAGCGTGTGGAAAAACCAAGGCGCAAAATAACTGCCCATGAACTGAGAAAAGTCAAGCGTGCAGCTGCCAAGATGCCACTTGCCACCAGTTTGGCCATATTTCAGAGCTGCAACATCACTGGAGTGCCCAAAAGCACAAGGTGTGCAATACTCAGAGACATGGCCAAGGTAAGAAAGGCTGAAAGACGACCACCACTGAACAAGACACACAAGCTGAAACGTCAAGACTGGGCCAAGAAATATCTCAAGACTGGTTTTTCTAAGGTTTTATGGACTGATGAAATGAGAGTGAGTCTTGATGGGCCAGATGGATGGGCCCGTGGCTGGATTGGTAAAGGGCAGAGAGCTCCAGTCCGACTCAGACGCCAGCAAGGTGGAGGTGGAGTACTGGTTTGGGCTGGTATCATCAAAGATGAGCTTGTGGGGCCTTTTCGGGTTGAGGATGGAGTCAAGCTCAACTCCCAGTCCTACTGCCAGTTTCTGGAAGACACCTTCTTCAAGCAGTGGTACAGGAAGAAGTCTGCATCCTTCAAGAAAAACATGATTTTCATGCAGGACAATGCTCCATCACACGCGTCCAAGTACTCCACAGCGTGGCTGGCAAGAAAGGGTATAAAAGAAGAAAAACTAATGACATGGCCTCCTTGTTCACCTGATCTGAACCCCATTGAGAACCTGTGGTCCATCATCAAATGTGAGATTTACAAGGAGGGAAAACAGTACACCTCTCTGAACAGTGTCTGGGAGGCTGTGGTTGCTGCTGCACGCAATGTTGATGGTGAACAGATCAAAACACTGACAGAATCCATGGATGGCAGGCTTTTGAGTGTCCTTGCAAAGAAAGGTGGCTATATTGGTCGCTGATTTGTTTTTGTTTTGTTTTTGAATGTCAGAAATGTATATTTGTGAATGTGGAGATGTTATATTGGTTTCACTGGTAAAAATAAATAATTGAAATGGGTATATATTTGTTTTTTGTTAAGTTGCCTAATAATTATGCACAGTAATAGTCACCTGCACACACAGATATCCCCCTAAAATAGCTAAAACTAAAAACAAACTAAAAACTACTTCCAAAAACATTCAGCTTTGATATTAATGAGTTTTTTGGGTTCATTGAGAACATGGTTGTTGTTCAATAATAAAATTATTCCTCAAAAATACAACTTGCCTAATAATTCTGCACTCCCTGTACTTGAAGGACCGCACTATTTATGGCCTTGTGCAACAAACTGTGAAGACTTGACATAACCGGTGACCGAGGTTTCTAGAGTGATGTCATATGTAATTTCAAACCGGCTTCCATTAATTTAAACACCTTCCCTCTTCTTGTAGATATAATATTAGTGCTTGACAAAATAATGTTAGGAAAACACAAGTTAACAATATTCTTTGACATGTAGTCCTTAGGAATTTCTTTCATACTTCTTCATTTATAGTTATCATAGTATTGTTGTTATAGTGAGTGACTCTGTCAACCTATCCAGTAATCCAGTGTCAGTGGGAAGTTGTGAGTTGGCTGTAAAATAGTCTTATTCATTAAAGACAGGTATGTCATCCTGTCTGAAAACAACACTAAGATGCCTGTCTGAGCGTTGAATCGGGTTTGTTTTCTGTAATCATCTCTTATCCACAGTGATTGTGGTTTATAGTCTTCTACATGTAGTAAAATTTAAATGAGCCTATCCTTTAGGGAGGCGCCCATATTTACATAGTCCTTTTTCCGATGGCCGTGTTTGCTTCTTGTTTGCCTAAATGGAACTTTTTTTTCCTTTTTAACAAATATATTGACTTGTTTTAAATGTAAATGTTCTTTATCAACTAAATTCCCACTATAAACTGAACTGAATCCACTGCCTGTCTGTAAGGTAGTGATTGTCAGTGCTGCATGATACTGCAAATTTTGGTATCAATCTGATACCGTGTAAATACAGGGCCAGTATTGTGAAGATCGACACTTTGCAGGGGAAAGCAATGGGTCATGATGTATCAGATGAGTCATCATCAATTTGCAAATTCTAAACACATTTTAATAACCACTAAAAACTGTGATTTGTACTTTTCACAAAACTTAGTTAATGCAACAAAGCAACGCTTCTCAGCTTTTTGTGTATTTTGAAACTGCGACCTGGAATGTTGATGTGTTTCTAAAGCTATATTGTGCCATCAGCTACAAATAAAGACGTGACCATCAACACGAAAGGCTTCAGAGATTTTTAATAGAGCATGTTTGAGGTATATTTTTCATTAAAAGAATATTTAACACAGTTCAGTGGACTACATACTGAACTTAGAGGATACAAGCAAAGCATCAATCCTATTGTGATAGTATCAATAATACTAATACCAGCACTGGTATTAGTATTATTGATACTAAGCGCCTTGAGATGACTGTTGTTGTGATTTGGAACTATATAAATAAAACTGAGTTGAAATGATATTTTGATTGATCTGCCCATCTCTGCTGTCAGTGGAAAAAAGACTTACATTGGCACTGGTCCCAGCATTTCTGCGGCGTCCAGTTTGGATGCCGATCAGGTAGCTGTACTGTGCAGCTGGGTGATTGTCCTCCAAGAGTGTCATCTTTCTCTGATGGTTCAAAAACGTACAACATTGTGATGTTAAATAACATGAAAATATACGTGCAAAAAAAGGCTGGATTTATGAAAACTGGCGAGAGACAGGCTGACCCTTGTGCGTGCCCTCCGGTCAGCATAGCAGGCCCACAGCAGTGTCATCAGGTAGAGTCCGAAAAATGCACACAGCAGGGCCAGCACCACATAGTTCTGATTCACAGTGGCAAACAGCTCCGCAGTGCGGGATATGTCGACGTAGTTTGGCATCACAAAGAAGGAGCTCCCAAAGATAGTGAGGTGATTACAGAGACACTGCGTTCGTTGCGGAGTGCTTTCTTTCCCCACCTGAGGAAAAACACAACACATGACTGACTGGTACTCACCTATGCTAGAATATTATAGTGCATGCAGAGCCAAATGATCAGATTTTATCCAGGGGAAAACATACCATACAGCCTTCAGTGCTCCATTCCTTTGCGTCTGTGTTCCAGTACAGGCACTTGCTCGTAAAAGTGGTGATCTTCAGGTTCATGTCTGGCTGCCATTCAGAATCAGAAACTCTTGTATCAATATACCAAATCCCAGGAGTCTTTTGTAACATCTCTGGTGTTATCATCCAGCGAAATCCCTCTAAAGCAAAAAAGCAAAACCCCCCGAAAACAAAACTTAAATATACTGCATAAATAAGTGTTTTTGCTATGATCAGTACATATAAATAATACCAGAGCGAGGTGTGGCCATTCTAGTGACCTAATTTGACTTTGCTGACAGCTACCTGTGCGGTTCAGTACAGTTCTGTTGCTGTAGTTTGTGTTATTAGGAGGCAACCCATGAGACAAGAGGAGAACCAGTGACACATTCACATTGGGCTCCACGCCGAAGAAGATCGTCACATTAGGGTCTGAGACATTGAGTGTAGTCACCGATTTTGAGTTTTTCTCTAACACGACAGTAGTGTTGATCAGAGCTGCAGCATTTGGACGAGCCAAAAAGATCTGGTGAAAGGAAGGAAAGAATTTGTGGCATGAAGAAAAACATCTTATTCAGTCTGTGTGCTGAAAAACAGGTTTTAAAATTAAATATTCAGATGTTTTTGTTTTAAAGCAAGCTTCCTAGTATTAACCGACCCATCTTGATTCATATTTAATCGGTTATTTACTAGTTACATATTAGAAACGATTAAAACTATAAACCAGGCATCACTGAAAGCTTTACTGTACTTACACCTCCATTCTTCTAACTGTAGCTACACTAAGAATGTAAAAGTCACCTCCTGTGACAACTGACATTTGAAACAATTAGCAAATGAAGGAACTGCTGGTATTCCTTATGCAAAAATTAAATAAAACAAAAAAGTAAAACTATGACCTTATATCATGTTATTTTAGTAAAGATAATTGACACTAATCACGATGTTTAAACAGTTAATTATTAACGTCATGTTATTGATACATACGCATATAATTGATCTCATCTAAGTAATTGTGCCTTTGTGCTTCCAGTAGGTTATTGCGCACTTTCATACCTCCCAGTACTGATATTTTCAAAACTGACAATAAAACAAGATTTGCGATTAGATTTTTTTTCTTAATTTTTCTATAGCTGTGATGTCACTTTTGTAATTGCGTTGGGTGTGTTGACTGTGCGGAGAAATTTGATATTGGCAGGTGTGTTGGCAAAGAGGAGTTCAGGAAGACAGCATGTTTGGAGTACACTGAGGATGAAGGCTTGAAAAACAGTATGTAAGTTAAATGACTAAACATTATGAATTTTTGGACTTTGTATGTGATTATCTTGAACAGTTTTTATGTTGTTTGTATTGTTTTGTGGCTTCATTGTCTGCGTAAGCATCTCAGCATGTTTATTATGTTTTGTCTAATTGTGTATTTATTTTTGTTTTTCTGTCTTTTTCTACTACAACTGCAAGACACTGCAAAGTCAAAATGTCCACTGTATAATGAATAATGTCGACTGAGCTGTTCTCATACAGTAAGCAGTAAGTTGGCTGTACCTCCACCATCTCTGTCAGGTTTGCCACCTTAATGTCCTGCGTTCCATCACTAAGTGAAAGGCTGCACACACTCCCTGTTATGTTGTCTTCAGATGGATAGGGATTTTCATTGAACGTAGTCATCTAATAGTGACAAATGCTCAGTTAAACAGGCTGTGGATGTCAGCAAAGATAAAAACACTAATGATGATAACACACACACAGACTCAGACCTGAGAGATGATGTTGTTGTACTTATTAAGCACTGGTCCAAGCACTGAATTTGAAGGGAGCTTAGCGAAATTGCCAACTTTTTCTGAACCCAGCACTGAATTGCCAATGTCAGCAGGTTTTTGTCTGATGGAGGGGGAAATTAATTTTATATGTAAAAGTTTTTAAAGCAGAGGCAAGTGACATTTTAAAGCAAAATACCCACGTTTTCTGATAAATGATGCCCATTGGGTATTGCATGACAAATTCGTTCTCTCCTGATAGCAGGTTAGCAACTTTCACAAAAATCTTAAAGACATCTTCAAACAAATCCTGGGGAAGAAAAAACATCATTCCAGTGTGAGAGCTGAAACAATAACAGAGACATTTATGTTGCTGGTGATGTAGTTACGTGAACTTACTTTAGGGTTTGGGTTGTTTTTAAGATCGCAGTTTTTCAGTGACAGACTCAGGATGGCACTGCTGCAGTTGAGGATGCGATTGAGTGTCTCGGTGTTGTTCAAAGCAAATGAGACGTTCAGTAACTCAACACTTTTCAACAAATTACTCACGAATGCTTTCTTTTGGAAGAAAAAGGAGGGAGAATTTAGCACAGCATGAATATAAAAACATGAGAATAAAACAGTAATGATGACAATATGGGCATATCAATGGAAATGTAGCAGCTCACAGAGCTGGAGGGAATTTGGGTGGAAAAACCTGATAAGATATTTTATTACACCTCACCAAAAATCTCACTATGAAGGTAACCCTCCCGCTTGCTGGAGAAATTGTGGAACTACAAATGCAAATCACTATCATATTTTCTGGGACTGTCATGTTATTAAAACTTATTGGAAGGGAATACATGCAGCAATACAAGAGACATTTGGAAGATATTTACCTTTGAAGACTAGAGGAAATATAAGTTATATTAATGGAAACAGAAACACACTCCCTACATGCCTTTTTTTTCCTTTGTATTTTTTATTTATTTTTCTGTTTTGCTTCTTTTTCTTTTTTTTTCTTTTCTTTCTTCTTCTTTCATTCTTTTTGTATCGATATTTTAGTTGTTTAAATACAGAAAAAGGGAGGAGGATGTAGTAACAAATTGCTAAAGTTGATGGTATTGTACAGTGATTCCTAAATGTCAATTAAAAAAAATAACAGTACAAAACTAAAAACAGTAATGATGAAAGTGTTCTTGCTTTCCTAAATAAAGGTACCCACCCCGTTGCTATTTGTCGGTTCCCCTGGTGTCACGTCCATCGTATTTAGTACTCTGTCTGCATCCTGTCTCAGAAACAAGGGACAGCTTTTAACTCTGGGGTGCTTTTTTATAAAAAAAATAATAAATTTGCAATTCAAAGCTCCTCATAATTTATAAAAAAAAAAAAATGTTGATATGTAAAATGATTTGTCTCACCTTGAGAAATATGTTAATGTTTGAGGTTTTCAAAGCTTTTTCAAGGATTGTTTGGATTGTTGGATCGTCAAGGTTTGGAATTAAATCTGAAAGTAGAGCCCTTTTGTGCCCTGGAATCAAAGAGTATGTGATGTTTAACAAGGTCCAGTAAAAAAAAGAAAAGGGAAAAAAAAGTGATACAACACTAGATTTATGTCATTTAGGGTGTTGAATAAGAAGACACAAATAAAGTGCATTCTAACTTACGAAGTTTGGTTGCATGGCTGGAAATTTCGGTACACTACAAAGAAAACATGAACAAGGTGGACAATATGAAAGCTGAGTCTTGGAGGCTTGCATGGCTTATTACTGCCTGTGAAATTTATTTGTCTTACCTTTGTGTTTGAGGGAGACTGTAAACCTTTAAAACACAAAGTTATGTTATGAATGAAAGAGCACAAATGAAGAATGAAAACAAATCTGGTTAGGTTAAAGCTCGGATCAGAAAGCTTCACGTACTGTGGGTGCAGAGGAAGCCTCTTTTCTTTTTACAGTCAGACGTTACGAGCTGGAGAGGATTCAGCTTCATGTATGTGCATGAGGTGTTTTCTGTTGAAAAGAAATGGCATTAGGAAAGGTTAGTTTTTGAGACAAAGGTTTAACAACGAGACAACAACTAACAGGGCTGCAACTGTCAATACACGGTTAATTATTTACAAATCAATAATCTATAGGTAAAATGTAAACAGATGATCCCAGAAGCCACATAAAGCCATGTGTAAAGTCTTCTCATTTCTTGCTTTATGTAATTAAAAACACACATTTGAATGATCATAACACAGGTGGATGGAGCAGATTTTCCTTTTTGATCCTGGTAGTGTTGTGGGAATCTTGTGAGGCAAACATCTCATCGTAGAGATAATCCTTCAGGTACGGAAACTTATTTCTGCCACCATAAGTTAAAGTTTTGTATTATTATCTAAACATTTTGACCTAATAACTTGAAATTTCAAGCTGTTTTCTCAACGCTTGAGAAACACAAAAAGTTTTCTTTGTTACAGATGTGGAAAGAAATTTCCATATTCTGGAGACATGGGTGTAAAGCATAAAATATATAATCAAGGAGAAGAGTTATCAGCACAGGTGTTCATTTAGTTTTGAAGGATTTCATTGCACAGAGATTTCCTTATACCTTCATTCCTTGTCTACATCTACTTTCACTTCTAGACAAGAGAATATGCGCTCTCCCACAGCTGGACAATATGCAACCAGGCTATCCTCGAACCCTCTGCTGAAGACCTGCGGTTAGCTCATCGAGCTTTATTCAGGCTCTACCAAGCCTGACTCGTCTCACCCTCCAAAGCAGGCCTCGCATAAAGACGCAAAGTAAAAAAATCTTAATCCCTCACAGCAAATAGTGTTGGAAATCTTATTGGGTAATTTATTTATTGTGATCTGCAAGTTTGTCTTATTTTATGACATGAATCTTCTTTAAAAAGCAAAGCAAAACAAAAACAAAACAAAGCATTTACACACCCAAGGGAACATATTCAAAAATATTTAAATTCAATTGCTGCTGGTGACATGACAAAAATTCAAATGAAACCCAGCCTTTTCTCAGCACACAAACGTCATCAACCTCTCTTACGTTTATGTCAATTTATTGTAATGTATAATTATTTCTTCTTAACGATATAGTGACCTGAACTTACTTGCAGGTCCTGGTTGATTTGAAAATGGCAGTATTTCAGTGAGAGACTCATGATGACACTGCCACAGTTAGTGAAGAGATTTGAGGGTTGTTTAAAGCAAACAAGACATTCAGTCTCTTTTTTAAGATTATTTTTATGGCATTTTGATTTTTTAGATAGTGGAGCAGTGAAGACAGACAGGGAAGTTGAGTGAGAGAGAGAAGGACTTACTTGCTCACACAGTGGGCTAAACTGACAATCGGCATTCAGTATCTTATTGCTTGCCAACAAAACTATTGTGATTAAACCATTAGCAACCCTGCCCCCCCCCAAAAAAACAAAAAAACAAAAAAACAAAAACCCAAAGCACTGGTGATTGATCAATTCAAACAGACAATTATTACTTTTTTCTTTTCTTTTTTCCCAACGTCTGTCAGACATGCCTTCACTTGAAAACTCACAGGCCACAAAAGCACAATAACCTGTGCAACAGAAAATAAAATTACGGCACCAAAATGCATGTTGTGTTTGTGTATTTTACTTACTATCGGTGGATTTCCAGTTATCCTCTCCAACTGTCTTTTCAAGCCACCATGTGTGATTGAAGTTGGTGTTCCAGTCTTGAGTTATGTTGTCCAAGAAGATTTTGGTTGGGTTGTTCATCACCTTCAGGAGCTCTCCTCCTTGCTTTTCACAGCTGCTCCTAGCCTGGGAATAGGTTTTCGGTTCTCCAACAAACTCGAAACATACATTTCTGAAAACAAATTCACAGTTTGCCGTGAAGTTGTTTCCTGGACAGTTCTCGGTTCTTTCAGCTACACACAGAAATCCAGCTGAAATCCACACAAAGACAGCTGTCCGGAGTACCGTATCCATTGTTATTGTTCTGTGGAGAGCACGAGCGCTTAGTGCTGCTCGAACTGTGGCTGGAACAGATACTGAGCAAGGTCACTTCAATCCATCACATGAAAATCAGAGAGCTTTCTCCAGAGAAACCCTGCATATGTTCTTAATACATTAGGAAAATCACCCGAGACACTCAAACAAGATGCAAACTGAAGGAATCACTCGGTGTCATTAAAGGCCAGTCAGGCTGACCTTCTAAGAGTAAGGACAATTCCATTGTTTGATTTGCAGTTAACAGTAAAAACACTTTATTCCATTACAATGACATTTTTCCCCCAAAATAATTCTTGAATCAACACTTGCCTGTCTTCGTGTTGACTTTTTGTGAGAAGCATCTTCTTATTAGTCGTTTGCATTTTCTTTTCTTTCTTTGTCTTCTTTTTGCTTTAGCTGTCCATTGTTATGATCCCTGTAGTCTACTGTTGTTCAGTATTACCCTGTTGTTATCAGAAGTTATGAAGTTTCATTGTCATATGCACAGTGGAGATAAACACAATGGTTTACAATGTACAGTGAAATTCTTATTTTGTCAGTCTCCCTTCACACAAAACAATTATAGCATTCTAATAAAATAACAATAAAGATACAAGAAATTTACAAAGGAAAGCATAAGTAATAAATATGCAAAAAAAATTGAGTTTAAAGAAATGCCTTGAGCTAGTCTGGAAATATATCTGTCCCAGCAACAGCAGAATATAATAATTACAGTAGCAGTGAACAGTAGTGATGGGGTGGGAGAGGGTTGTGCTGACATATTCAGGAGTCTGATGGCCTGTGGATAGAAGTGAGAGTCTTTTAATCATTCATTTCAGCCTTCTGTACAGTTTACCTGAGGGGAAATGTGTGAACAGGCTGTGTTGTGGGTTAGTATTGTCTTAACAACCCTGCTACTGTAAAGTGATGTACTGTGCAGTTTTTTACCACATGCTTTCCTGAACAGTGTACATCTGTAGAAGTTCCTGAGGACTTTGTGCAATTTTTTGTGTTTTTTTCAGTGGAAAAAAAATCACACTGACAAAAACTGTATGTATCAAATATGATACACTAGGGGTTAAGAGGTTAATACTTAATCAGGTCTCTCTTCTTAAATTCCCTGCCTATTCCCTGTCTAAGGCATTATAGTTAACTAATACTAAACTAAAAAAATTACTTAATTAAATAAAAATAAAAATTAGACTTTTGAAAAAAATATATAAAATCGAAAGAGTTTGATGAATTTGGAAAACTAAAATTCAATTCAATTAAATTAAAATGAGGAAATATCCTGAGTTTTATTTCATGTTAGTCTGGTATTAATTTTATTACAGTACACCTAATGAGGCTTTGATGAGCATGTTTATTAAGACAACAGACTTGAACTACTTTCAAGAAGTTCTGTGTTTTTATTGTACTGCTTTTCCTAAATCTTGTCCCCAACATATGCTCTCCATACAATAATAAAGCAAAAAATTAAATAAGATTAAAAAAATAATACTAAACTTTTTCACAACAATAAAAACTAAACTGAAATGAGAAAATCCACTCTGGAAACCAACTGACACTAGACTGAATAAAAAAATAGTGGCTATTAAAAAAATAATTACAAAATAAAACCTTTATTAAATCTAATACACACATACGCATGTAATGCACGTGAACTTTAATCACCCGTGGTATCTGAGAATGTCACTGTCCGCCCGCCCACGATTGAAATATCGCGAGATGATGTGCCGGAAGCTAACACCGCGTGGGTTTGTGTAACATGTTAGGAAATACATTCAATGCCCTTTATTGCGAAGGCAAAACTGCGTCTATGGCGGGATTGAAGGTAACGTCAGAGACCGTGGACAACAGAGTTTGTCTGGCAGGGTTTCAGCGTCGCAGCGATACTTGTGCTCCTGTTTGCTAGCTCGTTTTCTCTGCCTGAAAGTAATATTACTGTAAAACACTCCAGGTCGTCTCTTCTCGTTTTACTGGGTAAACACAGGCATGCAATGAATGAGTTGTTATTGGGTTTATTTGCATTTACTCTAAGAAAGCTAAACAAAGTCTGCTGTTTAAGTTTTTTAATGCGTATCTTGCATCTACTACTGACAGGGACCAAACCTGACCTCAAAAAGTAAAACGAATTATTATTATTATTTTCTTTTACTAATAATACTTTATTTTTTGTCCATTTGAAATGCATTTTCGTATTAAAACACACATGAGTGAGGTATGTGTTTGATACCACACATACTTTTATTTGTATTGTGTCTGTTTATTCAACCCCAGATTGTGTCATTGTAAACAGAGTGAGTAGTCGTATTGAACTCTTAGCAGTCTGGTCACATGATGTTTATCACCGTTCAACAGAAAAAGTTAAAAGACGCCGTGAAGGTCATCAGCTCAGGTAGCCTCCTGTTCGCTTCCTACCTCACTGTGACTGGAGATGAGCGTTTCTATGCCAACCAGCTAATGCCCCTGCTGCAGAGGATTGTGGGGCCTGAGACAGCCCATGTGCTGGCAGTGAAGATGATAGGTTTGGGTCTGGTACCTCTGAACCGTTACCAGGACCCTGCGTCATTGGTAAGCATGTCACAGGGCTGTCTCCTCAGTGGGTTGCATGCACTTCTGGACTTCTCTAAGGGTTTGTTCTGTTTGTCTGCAGGAAGTCAACGTCCTTGGATTAAAGTTCAAAAACCCGATTGGGATTGCGGCCGGCTTCGACAAGCACGGAGAAGCCGTTGATGGCTTGTACAAACTGGGCTTTGGCTTTGTTGAGGTGGGGACAGTTACTCCCAAACCTCAGGAGGGGAACCCGAAGCCACGCGTGTTTCGCCTCACTGCAGATAATGCAATAATCAACAGGTGAGGTTGGAAGTGCTGCACCACAGTTGGTGCTTTAAAAGGCCTGTTTTATGTCTTTAGGTTGACATACTTAGCTGAAAGTAAAAAGTGATGGCTCATGGTTCTGTGTGTGTTTTATGTCTAATAACCTTATCTTTAGTTGTAAATAGTCTGTAATCGACAGGATTTATGAAGGAGTTTTACAATTTTCACATTTTCTCATGGCTCTGCATTGTTATATGTACTCTATAATCACTTCACTCCTTAAAATATTGGTCAGCAAATAAGGCCAGCATGGTGGCGCGATGGTTATTCTAAATCGCCCATAACTGCAAATGGTAGTCTGTCTCTTTGTGTTAGGCTTCTGACAGACTACCAGTCTGTCCAGGGTACACCCCGCCTTTTGCTCTATGGGAATTTGGATTGGCACCAGTCCCCCAACAATGTGGATTTGGATAGGTGGAAGAAAACGGATGGATGAATATCTTTGTAGAACTGTTAAGTTCGTTAAGTTCTATTTGTTGTCATTCCTGATGCCCTTTTGGCTGGATTGCTCTTGAAAAAGAGATTTTAAATCTCAGTGAAACTTAATAAATAAAGAATATATTAAATCTCTTTGCCGAGCACTGATCGCAGCTTTTATCTTTAGACAGAAATGTCCTTTGTTGTTCAAAATGACAACATGTCGTTCATGAGCGACATGAGAGATCATTTGCAACTGTTTAAACACAGACAACACTGCCACTGAGGGTGTGGACAGTATTCTCCTGAATGGTAGGTGTCGTAAATTGTCCAAAACCCCAGCATCAGTGTTGGTGTGTGACGTCACTTTTGGCGTGTGCCTACGACAATGATGACGACAACAGGTGTTGTGTTTTTGATGCTGTTTTTGGCCAGTCGTGTACCTCACCACAGCCATGTCGAAGACACGAGTGTATGCTCATGTTGGTTTTTACCGTCATGTCAGTGAGTTTCCCAAATTATTCAGAGGGCAATGATGCAACAGCTAGGAAAGAGAAAATCTTTTCTCTGCTTTTTTGACTTACATTAGTGCTGATGCTGAGGTTTTGTCTGTGTAGTGACACCTGTCATTCAGGACGATACAGCAGCAAGTATAGGACACTCAGCGCCAATATAAATAATATCACTGGCTTGTAAGTAACCTGTCGAACTCTTATGTAAATGCACATCACACTGACATCAGAGGTGGGAAGTAACAAAGTGCAAATACTTAAGTAGAATTTTCAGGTACCTGTACTGTACTTGAGTATTTATTTTTCAGACAACTTACAGCTTATGTGTAATTTGAATCACATATTGGATCTGTATTTGATGTGTTTTGCAGTAATTTGGTGAATTAAAGGTCTGTGTTGGACTGGGCCACAGTGGTGCTCATGCTCACATTTAGGTTACATAGCAGAGATTAAATTGCATTTACAATGAGGATACTTACATTAATTCACTGAATGAATTAAGTGAAGAAAGTCTGTACTTTTGCCACATCTGCTGTTCATATCCTTTAGTGCAGCGGTCCCCAACCTTTTTTGCGCCACAGACCAGTTTATGCCCGACAATTTTTTCACGGACCGGCCTTTAAGGTGTCTCGGATAAATACAACAAAATAAAACTAGTACCAGTACCGAAAAAAAGAAGATTTATTCATAACACATGTGAAAAGACCCAGGAAAACCGAGTTAACAATAAAAACGATAACAAAATAATGCTGAAAACCGATAAAAACCCTGAAAACCATACATTTCACACCTGAGCCTCAACTCTCGTGCCCCGGTGCCAAACGACTCACGGACCGGTACCGGTCCGAGGCCCGGGGGTTGAGGACCGCTGCTTTAGTGCATTTGCCAGCCTAATCCGGAAGCAGAGGATGTTTGCTTGTAGAAAATACTAGAAAGGTAGAATGATGTCAAAAAGTAAGCCAGATATTAGTTATACTGATACTTGCGCTGGATGTTTGCAGGTCTGAGCATATACAACAAACAAGCATTAGTAATTCATCACTGGATTTTTTTGCATTAAATTACATGTTTCTGAGATGATTATAGGTTTTTCTTACATAGGTAGAGATTTCATGCACTCATGATTTCAAAGATGTTTAATATGATGTTGAAACGTCAAAGGTCAGCTTGACTGTCACATTATCACGTCCTGTACAAAATTACGTGCCATAACAAACCTATAGTTTTTTGAC